CAGACCTTCTCCATCTCAGATTTGGTTATATTAATATCAGGTTTATTTTTTCCATGAACTCATACATATTTATGACTTACGTTCTCTTGCATGCTGCTGGGCTTTCTCTAGTTCCAGTGCCTGTCTGTCCAGCTACTCCACCAAAGCTACATGGCATAGACTACACAGGGATTCAGTCTTGAGGTGAATAGAAAAAAATCAGTGACTAGAGCAATTTTTTTTGTTTTTTAATAGAGATAATTCTGTTATTTCTGTCCTTAATTACAGTTTCCTGGGGAGAGTTGTGCAAATTTTCCAGCATTCAGGTTCTGTAACACTAGAATGAAGTCATGACTTTGAGATCTTGGATTTGGTATTAATGTTAGCCATTTAGCCCTTATTAGTACACATGCTCGTTACTCATGCAACTAATTGCACTGACTTGAAAGAGGCTTTCTGTAGCACAGGAGCTGGCCTCCAGTCATCATCACAGAGTCAGCCTGGTTCTAAAGCAGCTGAGCAAACGCACTTACTCTAACACTTGCAGGGTGAAGTACTGATGCTCTGGCCAACCTCTTCAGTACCAGGAATGAAGAATTGAAGAGATGTTATTTTTCTGAGAAGGGAGATGGCAAGGGAGAGTGAGAAGGGAATGGGTCAGGAACCATTTGTGACTAGTTCAAGAGTAGACTAAAACCATCCTTTGGTTTTCACCTAGCTCCTAAGGGAAGCAGAGGTGACCTCTTGTGACTTTCAATGTCCTTTCCCTCAGCTCCCCGCTCCATACCTTTTGAACTCATATGGCAGTTTATGTCTAAATTGAAACAAGCATAGATAAAGACATTTACATTTCTTGGGTTTCTGACAAAATTAATGACTGTGTAGAGGTGAAAGATCCATGTTTATGCTACTGGAAAGATCAGCAAGTCAAGCTCCTGTGCAGCTCTGAACTGACCACAGGACATCCTGTATCCTGTGTGGTGGGGACCCTGAGTGGCCTTGGAGAGACAGAAGATGAAGTTTCTGTAAAGGTGAAGCTGTGGGATATGTTCTTCATGGGACAATAGACTTCATGTCTTTCACTGCTCATAAATCATTTGGTTACTATCACCTAACTGATTGCCAATAAATTTGCTAATTTATTCAATATTAGTAGTCATATTGGACTCTTCTATAATGCTCTTCATCACAAGATTCCAATTTCTTTTCAAATAGAGAGGTATCAGTATTTCCTTTTTTATAGCTGGGGGATGTTACTCAGAGGACCAGTTTTGGGCTGAGTACAAAATTATACGCTAGTGACCAAAGCCACAAGTTAATCTTGATGTGCTAACACCACTTTAAAACCGCCCTAAATATTTTTCCAGGCTAAACGCATTTGTTTCTCCTAATAAAGTTGAGAGGGAAACAAAAGTTCAATAACAAAATACTGAGACTTCAGTCAAAACTGTCAAACTGTTTTGAAGGCAAGATAGATTTTAACGCTTAACCATTGTCCATTTTAAAGTACATTCCTACATAAATAGTAAGATCAGTAACGAATACAGATTTTCATATTTTGAGATCTCTGAAAAGCCTTTTAGCTGTTCTTAAGTGGATATCATAGTTCTCCTATGGCTACTGTGGAGCAGATGTACCCTATATATACAGGTGACAGGCAGGGAGGCAGCTACCAGCCTTAGCACTGTCTGGCAAGGTCCATGTACCCCCATTATATAGCAGTGGCCCATCTGTGCTGCTAAGCAGCTCTGCCTTCAGTTGAAAATGCATTTTTTCCCAAATCTGCACTTCATAAATCTTCCAAATTTTGTCATATGCTTTTCATAGAATCATTAAGATTTGTAAAGACCTCCAAGATCATCAAGTCCAACCTTTGACCAAATACCACCATGTCAGCTAAACCATATCCTTTAAACAACCTGTGCTCAACTGAGCTTCATAGAGTTTAACTTGAGGGAGAGAACTTCAGAAAAAGTTATGGGTAAATTTGAAGGCTATTTGCTGAAAGTATATGAACAGCACATAGTGACAGTCAAAAATGTACAGTTAAAGAGTTAGGAAAAAGAAAACTAGTTGGAGGCTGATTTTATAAATAGGATACTTAAATCAACATCTTGAAAAAATGGGTACTTTTCCAGTGTAGCGTATCATGAACCAAGAGATTTTGAGATCAAGAATTTACATGACTGAAAATAATCATCTTTATAAACACTGAAAACACGTATGTCAATAGCCCAGAAACTTTGCAAATTTATAGGCCGCAAGTCTAAGCAAGCTATGGATATACATTATGTTCCTTGCCATTTTATACCAGGTGACGGTGGCTCCTTGTAGCCCTCAGTTGTGGTAGAAGATTGTGTGGACACCAATTCTTGTGAGCCATGGTCCAGAAATCACTGCTTTTTATTTGGCTATATGCATAGCCATTTAAACAAGTAGACAAACAACAACCCCCCAAAACCCCAATAAAACCCAGCAGTTATTTGTTGGAAGACATGAGAGGTGCTGGTGCTCACAGGGGCATCCTGAATACTGCTTGTACAGTCAAAAGACTGATTTCAGTTCTCTACTGAAATAAAGGCATGCTGGCTTTAACAGGTGTGCAAGAGGTTGATATAGTTCAGACTTTCAGCCTTCAGCTTCTGTTTAGAGGATAAGGTGTCTGTTCCCACCTAGTTTCTGAAAAATCTTTCCTGTGATTGTAATCTGAGACTTTCCACTGCCAATGGACTCCTTAAAAAGGCACCTTTTAATCCCCCTGTCACCAAACCCTTCACAGAGTTTATGAACTTGAATGAAGTGAAAATTTACAGCTCCCTTGCCTGAGGACACAGCCTATATACTAGCATAGCCTGAGACTTCAATACTAGGACAGCCCATAGTATGAATTAATAAGCATTACCATATGCAGAATAATTAAAACCAAGGACTTACACTGGAAATGAGACAGATTTAATATTTTTCCCCCTAGATCTCTGCCCCAAGGGCGAATTTTTTATGTGCATTCTCTGGTATGTAACAAAGGCTGTCACACTGCAGTCTTTCCTTGCAGGCAGGAATCAATAGGGTCTCTCTCTCCTCTCTCTGGCCACCTATTTAAATTTGTAGGAACTTCATATCTTTGAGCTTTATCTGGCTCTGTTGTATTTGATTGAAATTGGCCCATGAATTGTTAAGTTACTGAAGGAGTGGTGGTTGGACAGGGAAACAGATGCATGTGTTCACTCAAACATCCACAGTCATGTATTCCTTGCAAGACTTGTCTAAGAAAATCCTTCTCCAATGTAAGACTTTTAACTAGTGTCCTCAAATCTCTATCATCTTCCTCTGAGCACTCATGAATTGCTAACCTAGGAGAGTAAAAAATGTGCTGCGAAGATGGGCTGCTTAAGTTACTTGGGTATGGCAAACTGAGCACTCCAGGAGTTCATGGCCTAGGCTGTCACTCGCTCTTGTTGAAATATCTGGTAAAGGGAGTGAGATATTAAAATTTGCAGTCATTTTGATTAGCTTTAGAGCAAATGTCTACAGCCTGCCTAGATATTTAAGGATCAATACAGCTCCACAAAAGCAGTTCTATTCCCATGATTAATCCTATGTACAAAAATCAGAAACAAACCTTATTGCCAAATTGCAAAGCTATTTTGTACTATGGACACATGAAAATTATGTCTTGGGTGTGACCAAAGATGTCACCGTTCATCAGCTGAAGCCATTACCCACTGTGTGTGTGCTCTTAACCTACCTCAGTTGTGGACCCAATGACATTAAAAAGAAACACACTGGAACGTGTAGCAGGAGCAAACATGAGCTCAGTCTAATAACGCTGCCTTGCCTCAAGCTTTAAGCTGCGTCAGCCAAATCCTTCTGGTCATGTGCTTGTAACTCACACAAAGTCTAAGGATTTTAGAGTGCTTGGAAATGTCAACTTTTGAGTGGAAAAATGTTTTTGATCTTCACAGCACAACTGGTGCTCTGCTATGATATTTGTTCTAGTCGACACAATTACTCATTGACCAGGTTTATTATTTACTTGTGACCCTTTGTCTTGCATCCAAAATTGCAGATTTAGGATAGAACAGGGAACTGTAACGTGTTGAATTGCATATTCTAGAGGGTAGTGGTGTTCCAGCAACTCCATGTCTGATGTGGGGTTTTGCCTCAGCACCTACAGGTAGAGATTCTTTCTCAATTAAACTGATGCTTTTGGGTTGTAGAGGCTTTTTTTTTGGAAGGTAGGTGCGTGTTTGTGCAAGCAGAATGTCCTTTTCTGATATTTAAAACACAACCTCATGCCACAAGATAGTATTTTCACTTGAGGGCTTGAAGGAAAGAACTGCTCCTTCAGAATTACATTTCCAGTTATCCAAACAAGTGTGCTTCGACAACCCTCACTGAGCGCGCATTTCTCGGTACTTTAAGTGCCGCACGAGTAACAAAGTAACACGGCGCTACGTTTGCGATTTGCCTCATCCAGTGAGCCCAAAGATGCAAGTTCAAACTACGGTCTTTTCCCTTCTCCCGGCCGATGCCAGAGTAATGACAGTAGCGAGGGGCCGCAGCTGTCGGGCACCGGGGGCAAACCCTGAGGGGAGAACTGGGGGCCGGCCCGGCTTCCTCCGGGCTGCGCGGCACTGTAGCCCGATGGCGAGGGGCAGACACCTCCGCCCTCCCTCCTTCCTCGCCCTGCCCTCAGCAGCCGGGACCCCTCTCGGACGGCGGAGACTCCGGGCAGAGCTCACCGAGAGCTCCGGCGCTGGGCCGGTGCGGCGGGCGGCCTGGGCCCCCGTGAGGCCATCGGGCACAGACCCCATTCCGTCCCGCGGGGCAGCCCCCGCCGCCCGGCGCCTCCTACACCTCTCTACCCCATTTTCCTTCCCCCGGTTGCCCCGCGGCCGGGCGGTGGCCGGAGCCCCGTCCCCACGGGGCCCGTCCCTCCCCGGGGCGGGGCGCGGCGCGGCGGCGGCCCCGCCTCCCCGGCCGCGGCGGCTGTCACGGGGCGAGCGGGCCGCACCGGGCTCCTGCGGGGTGGGGGTGGCGCTGCGCGGGGCCCCGCGGCTTCCCTTCGGCCTGGCCGAGGCCGCCCGGCGGCATCCGCGCTCTGCCACCATGTTCAGGCGGATTCTGCAGCGGGTAAGGCAGCGAGACCCGCCTCAGCGGCGAGGGCGGTGTGCCGTGCCGTGCCGTGCCGTGCCCTGCCCTGCCCCGCCGTGCCGTGGAGGTGCCGCTTCCTGGTGCCGGCCGGGATCGGGGCCGCACTTCCCGCGGCGGAGCCGGAGCCCCCGGCCCGCCCCGTGTTGCGGCGCAGGGTGCGGGGTAGGGCCGTGGCGGCCGGGAAGGCCGTGTGCTTGTCCGCCCCCGCCCCTCGCCGGGGGACGGCCCGATCCCCGACGGGCCGGGCCCGTGGTCCCGGCTGGGGGCGGTGTCGCCCCCCGGGCTGGGCGGAGGCGCTGTTGACGGGCGGGCTCCCGCGGCCAGGCCTGTCGGAAGGGCGCAAGGCGGCCCTGCCCCGGCGTGGCTCCTTCCCTTCCCGCAGCGCGGCGGCGTCTCTGCCCGCCGCCAGTGCTCGTCGCCGCGGCTGCGGCCGCCCGTGCACAGGGCAGGGTCAGGGGAAGCCCAGCCCGGGGAAAGCCGCCGCGGGGACCCGCCGTGATTCCCCCGGGGGGCCACCAGGCTCATAACGCCGAGAGCCAGCCCGGCCGCCACCGTCCGCCTGTCTGTCGTGTTTCAGGAACCGGCTTTTCCGGCATCTCTGCCTAGCTCGGAAAGCCAAGTTGTGACACTGGTTTATGAAACCCTTCTCGCCTCCCCGGATTCCCGCGCATCCCCGCGGCGGTGCCAGTCGCCTTGCGGTTCGCCTGCGGCTCGGGCGGGAACTGCCGGGGAGGCGCTGGCGCGGGGCAGGTGCCGGCTGGCTCCGGCTACGGGAGTCCGTCACCGCGGGCGCTCGGCTGGGGAATGCACCGAAAAGGGTTGAGTCACGCCGGCGGTGGGCAGGCAGAGCTGCAGATCCCGCACCGCGGGAGAGCGGTGTCGGTGTCATGCAGGAGGCGCTCATGGATAGAGGAGAAACCCATTTTATCTGGTGTTGCTTCCAAAGCCTACTGTGAAACACCTTTGTGAAAAGGTGTTTCATTGGGAAGGCTGGCGTGCTTTCCTTATCTGCCATGCGAGGAAGCATTGGTACAAGAACGAGAGTTAACATAGGGGAATAAAGTAAGCATACTGCTATCTTTTTCAGTGTAAAGTATACCCTAAAATATTTTTTGGTCCTAGACCCTGAGCAGGTGAAGATCTAGGCCTATTTGGAGCTTCGTGTTTATAAGGAAGAACTTCCTTAAGTTTGATGGGAAGCCCTGCTAACAAGCAGGGAAACTTAATGCCGACCTAATTAAATATTGGCAGTAGGTAACTGGGTGTTTATTGATTCTGAGAGGCCGTCGAGGAAAGCTTCTGTGAAAGAGGAAGAAACTTGATACAGTGCCAGAGGATATTTGCCCCAAATATAAATACAGCTAAACACTTTCTATAAAAATCTAATAAAGTTGGTGCAAAAATTTTTATGTGTTAGAAACAGACATCTTTTCTGAAAAGTTTGAACAAATAACTGTTCTCCAGTTGTTCCTGAAAATTACAGGATTACAAAAGAGCTAATTGTCAACAAAGGTGAAACAGACTTTTTCCTGCCCAAAAATGAAATAGAGAAATGCCAAGATTTTTAAAGGTGTTAATCTCTTACTTGGTGAAAATAACTATGCTTTTAAAAATTCGCCTCTTATTAATAGGGGCAGTAGGCATTTTGTAAAAGTAGTGATTGCAAGCACAACCTCATACATACATACCTTTTTGACTTACAGTCTGGTTAGCAAGCTTTGAAAAATGCTTCTGCTGTGCTTTGGTATTAAAAGTGAACTTTTGGGAGCTGTCAGATATTTTCATAAAGAACATAATTATTCAAATCTTTCATGTGTCTCATGCAGTAATTTGAAGGCTAAGAAACTTACTCTTGACCCTTTTTTTGTGCATCATTAGTATAGCTGGCAAAGAACCCCCTGCCTTACAGTCACTGAAACATAGTTTCTTATATATCTGTTTGGTTTATTATTTGATTATAGGGGATGCCATCCTTCCTAGTCCAAGAGCTAGTAATTACTGGTGATATAACTTGTGAAAGAATGTTTTTTAAAAAAGGAATTCTTTATTACATTTGTTTTTGTTGTAACTCAGCTGGCTGTCAAGGAGGATAACAAGTACTAAGATATGGTTTATAGTTTTAGTTACTTGTTTGAAATTCTGGTTCCTGAACTTTTGAAACATCAGATGTACTGCTTCTGTACCCAGATCACCTTTTTTTTCTTCCACAGTTGTAATTGCTGTTTTTAAAAGTGTCTTCACAGTGAATTTGAATGGCATATTTTCAAAATAGAAAGTATTATATGTTTAGCATTGCTCATTTAGTTTTTGAAGTTAGTATCTCCATGTGGTCTTCAATTAGATCCTCCTTTTAGGTCCTTTCCTTACAAAAGGTGTTTCTAAATTTTATATATGTTTTCAGTGTGACATCTCAGGGATCCATCTGTTTTGTACATTTGCACCATAAAACCACCTTTCATTCATTCTTGCAAATTCTTTGTTTCATGCGTTGTTCGTCATGCTGATCTAGAAAAAGGTAGTCTTTCCCAAAAGGTCTCTGTGGATATTTCCAAATCTGTGTGGAATGTCTGAGGCACAACTTTCCTGCTCAGAGAGTTTGATTTTTGTCAGTGGATTCCTTGGAGAGCTGTCTTTTCTTTATTGTGTTCAACTCTGAATGCCCTTTGTGGGCATTGTGTCCTCTCTCCGTTGTTCATCTCTAGCAGGCCAATGACTGTTGCCTCTGGCTTGTTAAAGCAGAGCTCACTTTTTGTATTTCCAAGGAGGAGGCATTTATTTTCAGCTGATGCAAAACTGATTACTTTGACCTCCTTCTGAGCCTTCTTCCCATTGCTCATGTTTTTAAGTGAGGACTCATCTATTGGGCCAGTGTGACTACTGTTTACGTTAGTTTTTATCTTCATTCTTTGTGTTTAACTGGATGTCTACAACTGTTGACAACTGTGCTGTGTTTGAGTGGTAAGTTTCTTTTGCTCTCTGTTTCTAACTAATGTTTGAGTTCTTGGTCTCGAGATCTTGTGGTCTTGGGGGAGAACAGGAATTTGCAGGTGTTTCTGTAGTTCAGGTAGTACAGTCACCTTTCTCTTACTCCAAGCTTGGGAACAGATATATTTGCTTGTCTGGGATGCATTGCATCTCATGCCTTATGTATAATTTTCTTTTTACATTTATAATTGCAGGGCTTGCTAGATAGCATGTTTACTTGGATGAATGCTGAACTGCAGCTGTGCTTGTACCCTCTCCTGAGGAATCAGAGGGAGCACGTGTGCCCATTCTTGGGCACAAGGTCTACTTTTGTGAAACGGATGGTACGATGGGAAAGAAGGACTTTATGCTCTGTGAAGTCAGAAGTAACTTAATTTTACAGAGTCATAAAGTAGCATCACACTTCTTTAGAAGTAAATGATATTAATGTTCTGTATTGCAGGTTACCTTGTCTCTAGCACTGAGAGTTGTTTGATAACAAGGCTTCGGCCTTCTTACCTTCTCATTCTTGTGTCTTGCTTGTTGCTTCAGGACATTTTTATGGTTATACTAGTACCCTTATTTTGTATTTAAATCTGTGCTGGGCAAACTGTTTAAGTCCATATTTGTACACATTTTCTCAAGGCTTTACATATTTTTTCAAAGGTTTTAATTTATTCTGAATTTAAAACTGCTGAAAAGAGTATCATAACTGAAAGGAATGCGGCTGTAGACAGATAAATGAATATGCAAAAATGACACGGTAGTGACCCATATTTATTATCAGTCATTTTAAAGCTTAAACTCAACTCATTCATTATATAATTTTCTATTCCTTGTCAGAAAACAAACTGCAATCGTTGTCATCCTTTTTGTTGTTAATGATGTTTCTTTTTATTAGCTTGCAGTTTTGAGGAAACACAGAGAATGGCATTATGAAGTTTAGCATATTACTTGTACAACTGTAGTGCTAGTAGTAGAAACATGTTTCTTTGCAAAATAAACAAATGAACTCAGAAAACTAGGAAAGCAATATGCTGGATCAAAGACTAATTTTGCATCAGTCTTTCAGCTCCAGGTACGTCTTCAGGGGTCAAATGTTAATTTTGTAGAAGTACACATTACAGAAGCCTGTGTGGAAATTTTCTATGGGATTAGTAAGTCATTTATTTGCTCCCCTGTATAGGCCATCTGAAAACAAAGAGCGTCATTCTGAGTCTTTCCTTAGATTACAAAGTCCAAGTTGTTCAATGTGTTGTGATTTTTTTGTTTTTAATGGAATGTGATATAACAGTGGTATGTGAGCTTAACCATGTGTGTGAACCAATTTGATGATGCAATGATCAATTAAAAAAAACCATTCCCAATCTCCCATTATTTATTTGAATGGTGAAGGATGTTTAAATTACATTACAGCCTTGAAAGATAAGTTAATTGGATCTTTGGTCTTGGCTTCCATAACATCATTCCAATTTTCTGTTTTATTTTTCTTGCTACTCTGTATACTTTGCAAATGGGAGCTATGGACTGTAACTTGGAAGTTACTTAATGACATCTTTCCTTCCCAACCTTCTTTCCTGTGCTTAGCACTCATCAGAAAATGCCACCTATTTGTACTGGGCTTTCTCAATCTAGCTTGGAATTATGCTTTCTTTTTTGAAGAGTACGCATTGTTTTTTGAAAGGTTAAAAGGATTTTACCTGTACTGTGTAATAGTTTCTGTCATATAATGCATGCAATAAGACATGCCGTGCGGTGCTTATTAGTGTGATTATAGCATGTCTGAAGTGTTTCATAAAGCAAATACTTTAATCAACCATATAGTAATAACTGTGTACTTTTAATATAAGAGCTTGCATCCTGGAATTATAATTATGATAATCTCGAATTTGTAGTGCTGGAACTGGCAGAACTTAATACGCGAATCCCACTGCAAAACGCAGTCAGCTCTGGTGTGAAATGGGATAGGTGATTAACAATGTACAGTAGCGTTGTATAGGGAGTTATGAGGTGAAGAAAATACTGTGTTAATTGTCTCAGAAGATTCTTGGGTTTGGTATGAAATGATTCGTTAGGTGTGTTGAAAGCATCTACTCAGGTATTGCAAAAGTGGAGGTATATGCTGCCTGTCTAAAGAGAGTTTGACCATCTCTTATTGCCATTGCCCAGGCTATCAAGTTCTATTCAGGTTGTCCCTATTCTCTTGTCTCTGTCCAAGGCTACGTGAAGGCACATTCTTCAGTTTTTGGAGATGAAGGGTGAAACAAAAGACTTCCATTTCATGTAAAGCATTAGTAAAGACATGCATATCTGTTAATGCTGACACTTTCTCCGTTTCAAAACGTCCCATTTCACTTGTGCATGTAGGTGCTGGGACAGATAGGGGTCCAAGTTTTCTGGCTTTCTAGAACCAAACAGCCGCCACAGCTAACTACCATACAAAAGCCTTTGATTTTTCAGATTTCTGAAGCATTTTTAAAAGTTCCTCTTAATAAGAAATTTATTCTTATATCGTGAAAGTTCATCTCCTTTGTGGAAGAAAGCTTTGACGCTGACCTCTTAATTTTCCCTTATGTAGATGTATGTGTGCTTGCATCTTCTTTGGATTCTTTGTTCTTGAACAAAGTGGATTCGCAAGAGAGCCTTACCGCTAGGTTGCATGGTTGGGGTTTATGCATTGCATGGAAAGGAACTTCTGAACTGTATAAAATAAAGAAAATTGGTTATAACATTAGATGCAATATTCTAACTTTGCTGTCTTACTGGGATACTTGGCTACACCTTACCAATTGTTTTAGGTATTATTCTGACTGTCAATGCACACAATCCACATCTTCATTAATGGAGTTACTGAAGTTGTATTTCAAAGCTTTCCTGCAGGATGTGTGTTTCTGTGAGCAGCACTTCATAGGCCACAGAACAATTTGGGCAGGAAGGGAACTCAGGAGCTCTCTAGTCTAAGCTCCTGCTGCGAGCAGGACCAGCTTGGAGGTCAGGAGCAGGCTGCTTAGGCCTGGCCTCATGATGGAAAATCTGTTTTTTACATCCAGTGGAACCTCTCATTTCAGTTCTGTGTCTGGTCCTCCCACTGTGTTCTGCTCGAACCAGCCTGGCTTCTGTTTTTGATGGCCTCCTCAAGAGGTGGTAGTGTGGCTGCTGCTTTGCCCTCCCAAAGCTGTCTCTACTCCAGGCTGAGCCAACCCTGTTTCCTCAGCCTCTCTCATGGAGCAGATGCTCCATCTCCAAGTGTCTTGGTGGCATTTTCCTGGACTCACTCTGGTTTATCAGTGTCCTCCCTGGACTGGGAGAGCCAAAACTGGATGCAGCAACTTGACATGGTCCAATGGGTGCTGGCCAGTGGGGGGTGATCGCTTCCCTTGGTTGGTTGGCTGGGCTCCTGTTAACACAGTCCAGAGTTCTGGTGTCCCTCTCTGCTGCCAGGGCATGCTGCTGGCTCCTGTTTAGCTTGGTGTCTGACACTAGGCCAGTGACCTTTTCCGCAGGGAGGCCTCTGTTGCTGCCAGGTCTTTTCCTTCCCTCCCTGCAGGAGTCTGCATTTGTCCCTGTTGAGTGGCATGAGATTCCCAATGGCCTATTCCTCCAGCCCATCTAGGTTCCCCTGAGTGGCAGAGTTTCCCTTGAGTGTATCAGCTAGTCCTCCCAGTCTGATATCACATGGAAACTCGATGAGTGTGCACCTGTGGTCCATGCTGGGATGTGCCTTGTTTACTGTCTGTTTCAGTGACCCGGAGGAGAATACTAACCAATGCCTTCACTTGGATGTGTTTTACCATGTGCATTGTATCTCTGCTATCCCTTTTTGCCTCTCCTATTACTAACTTGCAGAGCTTGCATCACTTTGCCTATTGCTTTTGTATGCTGTACTAGAAGGAAACTACGCGTTCATATTTTCTTTAGAAATATAAAACAACTAAAATGAAAAAGACATGGACTAGAAAAAACACCATATGTTGATGACTTAAATGATGACCTCAGAGAAAGCTGGAATGAGAAATGGTTGTCTTCTTTCAGTGTCACCAGGCCCCATAGGTTGTTGCTTCACTCCTCCCCTCTTCCCTTTGACCAGTCTTCAGAGCCTTTCTAAAACTGAAATAGATCTCACTGGGAATTAAGTCCTTCATCAGTAAATTTAACCTTTTTATTACATATTTTTTTATTTGATTAGTAATAAAAGGGTGTTATCTTTATGAAAGTTGAAAATAGAACATTCTTTTTAAAACAAAGCAGGAAAATGTACTTAATTTTCAAAGTATGGAAAAGCATGTGTGCTGCAGATGTCTTATAAAAGGTTACATATCAGGTTTCTCTTCAAGAAAAGGATATATTTGAGCAAGAAAATTCCAAACCAGCTAAGATTTTGGAGACACCAAGACCTGGAAACTTCAGCTATTTGTCTACTCTGTAGATTTCAATCTATATATTTAAATTCTTTATCTTTATTCCTCCTATATTAAAATATAAAATCCTTTATAGCATTACATGTATTTTCAGATGGACTAAAATACAGCAGTAGCATTACTTCATCCCATTTGTTGTAAGGGAATTAGATAATGAACTTTTTGTTTGTTGAAACTGTAATTGCATATCTGTATAAGATAATGCCTGATGTTTGCTTTGAGAATGCTAACTCTTCTGCCATCAGTCAAGCAGTGACATTCTGGAGATGAGTAGAAGTTAAATGAAATTTAAATTGAAGTTATAGTTAAGGATTATAAGATGCAATCCATTTACTTAGATTTTGAATCATGTAGTATTTAAAATTGATTTGCTTTTTTATCTAAACCTATAGTTTCAAATCAGTACTGTTGTTTTGATTTTCAGCATATTCATAAGAGTATATCTTTATAGGTTGTCTTCCTGATTAACAGGTTTTAACTTTACCAGAGACTTGATTATTATTTTATTTTTTTTCGAAATAAGGCAGTGTACCTGCTTGTGTGCTTGTTGAATCAGCAGAGTCCTCACACTTTAGTTTTCTGTCTTTCAAATACTTAAAGGCTTGTTCAGGTTGTAGACAAGTTATCAGAAAGTAGTGTGATACTGGATTAATACTTCCGAAACTTTTTAGACTGTAATTTCTAGTGTTTTCCTATAGGATATAGAGACCTAATTTAACATGAGCAAGAGTGATACAAGGGCAGAGTTTAGCCAGATTTTTTGTTTTGTGTTGAACATTCATGAGAGGAAAGGGTTGAAAATCCTGACCTTTGCTTATGGTGTCTGCTTGTCCTTTTATGTATGGAGAGTCTTGGGTAAAAGTTCTTGTTGAAGTGTTGTGCTGAAAATTGTATAATTGCTTGTCAGCTTGTTCACTTCATTACTGTTGTGAAGGGAAAATACTTCTGTATTCCAGTAAGCAGAAGAGAGGCCTTTGCATAGGATTGATACTATGCGTTATTAAATATTTATTAAATGTTGAAATGTAGACACTCATTTTTCTCTTCCCCATCTATTTCAGACTCCAGGCAGAGGTGGGTCTCAGAGCTCAGATTCGGATTCATCTGCCACACCTGGAAATGCTGTGGATGTGAACAATGAAGGCTCCTCTGAGGTACTGTGCACTATACGTGGGGCTGGTGTTCTAAACCTTGGTTGCTGGTTCTCTGCTGCATGAACTTGTTAGGAGTAACCTTTGATGCCCTTCCTAAATAACAGCTGTACTAAATAAATACTTGCAAGTGTCATCTTCTAAAAATTGTTTGTTATTTAAATAAAAAAAGGAAGGCTAGGCTATATTTATATGTAACTATTAATTAGGCTTACCCAGATCTCCCAGATCTTCGTTCGCGAAGCCTACCTATGAATTAGGCTTATCAATTTGTTGCGAGCAATCCTTCCTGTAGTTCTAGAGATGAATTATTGAAATTAAAAGCAATGATATGTAAGCTTAAGACTCCTTGTTAGTAAAACTTCTATGAGAGCTGAAAAAAACAAGGCTTAACTCCATTTTCGCCTTGCTTCTGCTAAGCTGTAATGTATACTGGAAACCTTGTCCTTCTTGTGAAATATCAAATATGTTGGGTTGTGTTTGGTGTTGATGTTGAATCTACCATGTGTAAATCCTACTAGTTTTTTGTATGCTGTATGCCATACTTAATCAGCAGAATAAGTTGTTATTCTTACTTCAATCCCACATTATAATGTCTTTAGATTTACAGTGTTGTCAAATATTAACTCTGAAAAATGCAAGCTGACTTCACTGGCTGTTGAAGCTAGTTTGTGCTAATGTAGCCCGATGACCTATCTTGAAAATGTTTTGAGCTTAGCATGCAACTGCAGTGCAAGGTTAATTACTCCTATTACAGCATTAGAGGCAGCAAAGTACTCTTTCTTATGCTGAATAAAGTGTGTGACAATTCAAATACTCCTGTTTGGGCTATAATAAGAGATAAGAGAAACTTTCACTGGGCTGTTTAAAATCCTGATCTCCTTTCATCTATGCATCTGCTTATTTCTTATTTCTTGAAGCCTTATTGCAGTCAGTGTAATTAGACATCCCTTAATGTTTTGCTGCATGTTGTACACGTCACACATTTTTTAGTCTAGATCTGTTTTGTATGCATATTTAGCCATCCCTGCAGCAAATAAATATTCTTAAATTGCAGGCTAAAATCTTTTTACTTTTGTAGTTAATTAAGGCATGAAAATGTGCAATGAGATAGTTGCTTCTTTCCAAAGTTTGGCTAAAATTGTACAATTCTGTTAACATGACTGCAAGATCACTGACTGTACAGCTTGTGGGTGTCACAAGGTACCTCAATACTAGTGCAGCAGTATTTTCTTAACATCGGATGAGCTTTCAAAGTGGTGCTGTGCCTGCACTATTGCCCTATTGGCTTTTCTTGCTACTGAAACAAAATTGGGTCAGACTAAAAACTGCTTTGTCACTTTTGGTTGATATGCATGTATAACAAGAAAAAATATCTTTTGGTTGTCAGTAATCCCTCCATTTGTTGCATTAGTTACAAGTTGGGTGTTATCCTTAGCAAAGAAGTTCAAAGTCTGTTTCAAACTGAGCTCTGCACTTAGTGAGGGGTTTTTATTCTCCTCAGATTCTTGCATTACAGCATGCAACTCGAATCTTCCTTTTCCTGCACAGCTGACCTGAGGTGATGTGTCTCTTGGAGCTTCTCTTCAGGAGCACCATAGTTGGTCTCTGCAGAATGTTTGCTCTTTGTTTTATCATTATGTTCCCACTTGGTTCTCCACCGTTACCTCTCTCTGTAAAACATCTGAACACCCTTCTGGGAAACCTCATGATGGATGTACCCAGTAATGCTCCTTTTACAAATTGTTACACAGCTTATTTGTGTGTCACGTGAAGGGGGTAACAAGAGTGTCAAGAAAGCACATAGCTAGCATGGTGCTAGCTTTTAAGGCGAGTTTTAGATTTGTTTATTTTTTTGTCCTTAATAACTGTTCCTTCTTGCTTTCTCTGTAGTATTATATGTTTACAAAAGCTATCTTTCTGAAAGGAAAACAGACTTTGCTTTTGATTGTAGAGAACTTTCAGCGTAAGAATTTGAACTTCTGATTCCAGATCCGCTTTTTTTTGTTTTTGGTCTTTATTAGTTTCTTAAAAACAAATATACATTTCACAGGGCTTCATCTGTCCACTATGTATGAAAGTGTGTGTAACTCCCACTGATCTGTCTGAACATTACAAGAGTGAGCACACTGGGACAGAAGGAAGACAGGAGCTTCGTGACCTCCCAGATATTAGTGTGGGTCTTGTTTATTTTGTTTCAATACCTTTGGTAATGGGCTGCTTTAAATGAATCTACATCTTTTCTTGTGGCTTGGGTGTTAGCTTTTTAAAATGTTTATTTTGATTCCTTGCTTAAACATAATTTGATCTCTTATGCATTATTCCAAAGTATACATTCAGCAGAAGAATTAATCTTTGTCTAGCTTTCTGGTTTGCAGTTGTCTGTCACATGAGACATTTGCAGTATTGGAAGACTTGCAGTCACTGAGATATGCTTTTTTTTTTTAACAGCTTTTGCTTGATTTTCTTGTAAATAGATTGTTTCCTTGTTTGATTTATTTCTCATAAGACTCAGTATCATGATAAACATGGTGTTGGATCTTGCACATCCTTTGTGAAAAGAAATGTTTTGAGCTCTTACTAAGAAACTTTTTAAAGCAGATTTCTACTGCAAGATAGTAAAAGAACAGAGGACAGAAAAATGAAATCTCAGAAGCTTCTCTTTTTGAGCATGTTTAAGAGCTTATATATTGCAGCAACATTATAAAAATAATTATAAAAACAAATTTTTAATACATAATCTTATTGGAATTTTTATGCCCCCAAGAAAATGCAAAGGTTGTTTCAGTTAATAGACATAAATTGTAGTGCATTTCTAAATTCTTCTAGTTGTGGAGTGTAAAACTGCACAATTAAAACAAAGTGTGTGGTTTTACACTGCACAACTGGAAGAAATTAAATTCTTTAAGTTAACAGCCTCCAGCTGCACAAAGCTATCTGATATTTTTCTGCCGTGAACCTTCAGTGAGTAGATCTGACTTCTGGGGGCAGACAGCTTGCTGTGCACTAAATGGGTTTGTGTGGAGATGAAGTTTTGCATTCTTTCTGCCAATGTTACTTTTTTTGAGTTTTGAAATCGAAGTGTTTACTCTAGACTGTGTGTGTGACATGATTTTATTGTGTTTGTTGTTGTATACATTTGTTAAATAGTGCTTTTCCCCTTCCCTATACTTAATGTATATTTGCACTATAGTTTTGAAAGGAAAACTTCAAATTGTGAGATGTTATTCTGACAGATGATGAAAGCCATCAATACATCGATTATTCTAGTGTTAACTTGGGATGTCATTTTAAGGGTGAAAGGTCACCTGTTAAAGTGAGGAGGATCTGTGCTAAAACGGACCTGTGTTGCTCTCCTGAATAGGTGTGGGACCTCCTCAGAGCCAGGACAACTGGAGTATGGCTTTTGATGGCTCCTCAAGTCAGCTTTTTGCTTTATTATCTGGTTACAATGTAAGGTGCTGTACTTGAATAAGCTGTGGCATTCTGATGCAATGGTGCCAGTAGATTGTGGAGCCATCAGAGATGGTTTGATTACCTGAAGAAGTTACTGTTTATTTAAGCTAGTTGGGCTTAGCATAATTTTATGGAGATGACTGCAGGGTTCTTACTCACCTTGAGTTTTTGTTTTTCCACCATTAGTCAGTACTTTCCACTTATCAACAACTGATTACATTTTTTTACCTTGATAAAACTTGTGTATTGAGCGTAGCACATGAAATACAAATTCAGTTGTTTCTGGCTGTTGCTGTTTCCTGTTGTTAAAGTTGTGTTTCTTTGTACAATGGTTCAGTAAATATCTGTAAGGGGTGAGAAACAAAGAAAACAAATATATATGTATTGGGTTTTTTTCCTAGTTTGGTCTTTTATTATATCAGCATGCCTAGAAGCACTGAAAAAGTGGAGAATTCTGTTAATTGCTATCGTCAATGCTAGTATGAAAACTTTCAAATACTTGACTACTGAGAAGCTGATTGTTTGGTGATGGAAAATAATAGTTTGCGTTTGTAGCGAACACATTGAAACAGCAACACAGCCAGGTTGTCACCCCTCATTCAATATTTGTTGTTCCTGGGACAGCATTATAACAATGATATAATGATGTCAGTGTCATGTAGCAGACATGAAACGTTGCTGGGTTTCGCTTACTTAAACTGGCGTATAGCTTTATTGCTTGTGGATACTACTAGGAAAAGTTCAAAGGCATTTTATTGGAAACAGTGCTGAAGAAGCTTGTGAGTTCAGTTTTTCTGCCAGTGCATTCTCATTAAAGCAAGGAGATAGGATATGTTGCAAGGCCAGTGTTTGTTACGCTTTGAGGGACCTGAAGAACTGTTACTTGGTTAACAAAAGCATTGCTACTTTGCTTTAATTTTTGCCTATAGTTTCTTTGCTAACACTGATACACCCTCCCTGCTGCTGAAAATTTTAGTAAGTCAGGTCATTTGCTCCTCTCTTCTTCTTGTCCTTCCTCTCTGTCCTCCATGCAGTGAGAGTTGGTCTTGTTTTTCACACCGGCAGTATCCTGTTGTAGGAACGGTTTCTTGCCAGACTCATCAGTCTGATTTATGGTCATCTCCTTAAACAGCTCTCTGTGCAGCCCTCATTTTTCAAATTAGGGATTGAAACATATGATAACTCTGAAAATGTCAGTGTATTACTTTCCCTTGCCCCTCAGCTGCAGGAACAACCATCAAACTGTTGGCAAGCGTCTGTGCATGTATAGCCAACTCAACCAAACAAATGCTTTATAAAAATCACACACATCACCAAGTCTCCCAACATTGTTCCCCAGCTTTCAAGTATACAGTGGTGTCACTAACAAAAGCTGTGTAGAGGCTTCTGTTTTGTTTTCTTTTTCCTAAAGTAATGAGACATTTCTAAACCATGCCCAGCATTTCCTGACAGTCTCTGTTGGACGTTCAGGACATCTAAACAGTGAGTCAGTTATAGAGGCACAGTTTCAGACTTGCTGTCCTGTTTTTATCTGAGGCGTCCAAAACAACCACTGTATGGTACCTCTGCAGTGTTTAGAATATAGGGGCTGTTAATATATCTGTTTTCTTATCTACCATTGAGCTAAATCTAGGGCAATTTTTAAGCAGTTCTTTTGGGTAGTCTTCATAACTTTCCAGATGTTTAGTAAGTATGTATTTCTTGGCTAATACAAAGAAGATATGGCCCTCATGTTTTCTGAATAGGCTTTTCACATCAGAATTGCCAATAGTGTAAATTGGTATACTGGTTATGCAAAAATATGGTGTTTTTATGTCTGTCTTTAAAAAACCCTCGTTCTTTATGGTGTTTTTTCCCTACTTGTGTCTTATTGTAGATGCAGTTGATTGAATCTTCTGTTTTATGCATGCCCTTGGAATGTTGCAGACTGTCTTTGCACAGAACATCATGTCAATGCTTTACTGCTGATATTTTATTCTCTTTCAGTTGCTTCTCAAATTAGATCGTGCTGGCTGTTTTCACCTCAGCACTACTTGTCTGCTTTGCACAGAAACAAAAATCATTGATTGAGCTACATTAGTACATTAACTTTCTGCACCATCTGAATAATATTAAGAGAATGAAGAATTAGAGATACTGATTTGATATGACTTTGCTGCATGATGTGACTTTTCTTTAAGAAATAGCGAATCCACTGGATTAGAATTTCTAATTCATGACAAAATTGTAGTCTTGTAGATTGTGACAGAATTTTAGACTTATTCATGAATAGCAATAGAACCAGAAGAGAACTGAACTAGAAATTATGTGGATTCTGTTCTTCTCAGGAGGAATCCAGCTGTTTTTCCAGGAAGACATCAGTTCTGCAGACTGGTATAAAATAAACTAGCAATATACCGTTGTTCTCTTTGTCCAGAAATGTGAATACTTACTTGTAAAATTGAAATGGACTGCAGGACATTTTTACCTACTTTGCTAGTGATTAAATAAAGATGTTATCTGAGGAAGCCACTGTTTACGTAAACACAGAGGAAAGGGTTTTTTCTGGTGAAAGACATGAAAAAATGTCAATTGTGCTTTTAACGATATATAAGGGGAGTGACCTGGGGAGTGACCTAATTTATTTATTCTTTAACTTAAAATATCTCATAATTTTCCTTTAATCAATATGTAAGCATTCTGAAACAAATTGTGAAATGTGGTCTTGCCCTTGCTGTCTAGGCAGCCAGTTTAATCTGCCTCTGAGAACTTCCTGAAGATTCAGTTAATTGCTTTGATATATATTCGGGAAATAAAATCTAGAAACTACTTGATACATCTTTCAGCTCTGCAATATCAGTGTGTCTTTGCTTTCTGGCCCTGAGTATATAGAGTTTCTAACCTTCTGTCATGTAAAATCTTTCAGTCTTTAAATCATTGTGTAACTGAAGAATATCTGAGTTTTAGCTCAGACTTACTATTTAAATGTTGCTGAATATGTGTATCTGGTATTGTGGAAGATTGTGGAGGTTCACCTGCAGTGGAAAAAAACATGAATGGTGAGCTTACTTTCAGATTTTTAAACATGCTGGACTTTATTCACCACACACAGCTTATTGTACCAATACAGTTGCATGAGAGTTGCTAATGTAAGTCTGGAATCTGAGAGATGGGCAAACGTAGGTCACGGCTGGAAGGTGTTATAGCTCTGGGCTTGAATCACTGCTATTGGCTTTTTGTTCATGCAGCTCACTGGAAACAGGCTGTAACCTTGAGTGCTGACCTGGTATTTCTGGAAGGTCAATGATGAAACTTAGATACTCAAATCTATTTAAATTTAAAGCCTGGTCATGTGAATGCCAAGTGTGCTAAAGTACATACTGGTTTGGGCTAAGCTGTTCCTATAGCACGTATATGGTAGAATAATCATGAATGTTTTCCAAATGGTAAAAGTATCAATTATACTGAAATTCTGTGGTGTGGGGTTTGTTTTTTTGGGGGCGTGGGTTGGGGTTTTTTTTGTTGTTCACCACAGTACTTAAATATTTTCCAAGAAGAACGTTTGTGAAATAAAATTGACTTCTCAGTGGAAAACAGTGGAGCTCTATGGTTCTATAAGCTTGACTTATGATATAATTGCTAGAATAAAAATTCAAGATGTTGCACAAGCTCTGTTTGCATTAGTAAATCAAGCTCTGTGCGCGCTATTTTTGCTGTAAGGCTCTCTACCACACACAGCTG